CCCTCCCCATCTCTCCTGTAGCCCCCTTCTGGTACTGGAAGGCTGCTGTAAAGGTCCCCCCAGAGCCTTCTCTTCCCCAGGCTGAACAACCCCAACTCTTTCAGCCTGTCCTCATAGGGGAGGTGCTCCAGCCTCTGACCTTTTTTGTGGCCCTCTTCTGGACCTGCTCCAACAGGTCTTTGCTGTGCTACAGATCCAGAGCTGGCTGCTGTACTCCAAACAGGGTCTCACGAGAGTGGAGTAGAGAGTAAGAATCACCCCCTTTGACCTGCTGGTTCTGCTTCTTTTGATGCCCCCAGGACACGGGTGGTTTCTGGGCTGCCAGCGCACACTGCCGGCTCATGTTCAGCTTCTCATCCACCAACACCCCCAAGTCCTTCTCCTCAGGGCTGCTCTCAATCCATTCTCCTCCCAGCCTGTATCTGTGCTTGGGATTGCCCCGACCCACGTGCAGGACCTTGCACTTGGCCTTGTTGAACTCCATGAGGTTGGCACAGTCCCACCTCTCCAGCCTGTCCAGGTCCCTCTGGATGCCATCCCTTCCCTCCAGCGTGTCACCACACCACACAGCTTGGTGTCATCGGCAAACCTGCTGAGGGTGCACTCCATCCCACTGTCCATGTCTCTGACAAAGATGTTAAACAGCACTGGTCCCAGTACCGACCCCTGCAGAACACCACTTGTCACCGGTCTCCACTTGGACATTGAGCCGTTGTCAGCATCTCTTTCAGTGCAACCATCCAGCCAATTCCTTATCCGCTGAGTGGTCCTTCTGTCAATTCCATGTCTCGCCAATTTAGGGACAAGAATATAATGTGGGACTGTGTCAAAGGCTTTGCACAAGTTCCGATAAATGACACTGGTTGCTCTTCCCTTATCCACCAATACTGTAACCCCATCGTAGAATGAAATATGCCTTTTACATTTAGCTCACCTGTTTCACAGTCTGTGCTGGTACTATGGGAACGGACATCCGCACTGGGGTTGCATTCACCACCACTGGCTTTGCTGGTATCAAGAAACAACATCACATTAACACACATTATTTGGTCAAAGTCCACAGTTCAGTCCTCCAGGTTTTCACATGCGCACAATGGAAAGATACTTAACACTGTAACTATGCACTGAGATTAATTGACCAAACTCATGGCACATAACACTTATGTCTAAAGAACACCTTTTAAAACAGGTATTTGCCCAAGAGTGCATCCACATGTTTCACATTTAAAAACCAGCTTTAGTGCAGAGCTCCTCTGGACACTGTATTTCCCTTGGCAAGAGGAGAATACGAAAATCACAGCTTGGTTTGAAATCTCTTATTCCATCAGAGCTCCAGAAAGCATGGACAGAAACCAGCAAAAACATTTGGTGCTTCTAAAGCATTTTACATGGGAGGAACTTCATATTGCAGGAGTTTTGGCAATATGTTTGTGGGCTGTCCTGGCTTCACGCTTTTCATACAGAGGATGCAGGACTTGCCATGAGTCACCCACAAAGCTGGTAAACTAGGGAAAAGCAATCTAAAATGCTCCAAGGATTCAGGACCAACTACAGAGCAATTTGACAGAGGAGCACTTCCACAGACAAACCAGAGCTAACAGAAGAATACTTTCAAAAATCTACCATAAAACCAAGTGTATCTGGCAGTCCTGAAAGATCTGTTATGTACTCATTGTAATCCTTACAAAAAAAAAAAAAAGAAGAAAAACCAAGAAAAACTTCAGAGGCACCAGCACTTACCCTGTTGAAGAGGCTGTGTATTCGTACTGGGATTTTGACTGGCCGACTGTGTGGAACTATTGGCTGTTGTGGCAGTAACGAGTCTGACATAATGAAACTTGCTTCCAGGTACCTGAATCTGCTGAACATTGGGTGCAGTTGCCAAGGGAATAATTGTCTTAAATTGAGATGTACCCACTCCTCCTACAGTAATGGTCTGTACTGCTGATTTCACAGCCTGTTAAGCCAAATCAGATAGCACAAAGTTATTTATACAAAGGCAGAAAGAACATCAGCATGTTTATTCCTCAGTTTGTTACTGAGCATCTCCTGGATCCATTTGTATCCTTGAGAAGGAAGTCAGTCATCCCCATTTTTACTTTCAAAAGTCAAACAGCTGCAAAGAGATGAAATGCTTCTCAACAGCTCAGAGCAAAGCAAACTGGGTTCATTTTCAGTGCTTTACACCAAACACCAGAGTAAACGAATATTTACATGAATTGGGTGACTCAGTCCACTTCCTCAGATACAATGTCTGCTGAATAACACTTCAGTTGACTATGGAGAACATTGCTCAGTTTGTATTAAAAATCGAGCAACAAACAAACCTAGAAATATTCCTACTAATAAAAACATGTGGTAAGAACTCCTTGGAGAACTGTTCATGCCAGACTGCGGCATGATTTATCTCTGTGGGTACAGATACATCCTGTTAAGATCGTTTGAGATTAATAGGCAGAATCACTGTGCAGCCCTTGAGAAGGAAATGGAAAAGTCCAGAAACTGATAGCTGAAGACATGAGAAAGAGAGGACAAGCTGAGAAATGGAAGAATGAAGAACAATGAAGAGTAGCAAAACAAATTTAGTAAGAAAAAGCAAAAAGGGGAAAGAAGGGGAGTTCGGCTGGGGGTAACGGTACACCTGGAATTTGCAAGACTTTCCAATCTCTCTCAAAGTACAAAATGATAACAAGTAAATGTTTATTTATACACATTCATAAGTCTATCTGTTTGATAAGGGCCCCCTTTTCCAGCCTTGCTGATAACCTCAAATCTTGGTTTATTCTTCCTTTCTCTCCTGTCTAACTTCATTTGGAGCTCAGCCTTTTATTCTCAGTATCTCAACATCTCCATTAAATGTAGCTTTATCATTAAGTTTTATTATTAAATTTGGTTGATAGTACGATGTGACTGGTTATTAGAACACCTTCCCAGCCCCCCAGCTTTCAGCAGCCACAGGAATGAAATCTCAATTTTCACATATTTCACTGGGAATATAAGCCCAGTCTTTTAAAGAATTTTTTTTCTTGGGTTTTTTTTTTTTTTTTTTTTTAGTATACTGAAACCTCAGCAACCCAGAGCCATTTAAAATAAGCACTATCTGCAAGCACAGGCACAGTGTAAGTGTTATCACAGGGAGACCAGCATGGGCGAAGTTCCCTCTAGCACACGAATTAGTGGCTGCTATCCAAGGACAAGAGGGAAAATTAGAAGAATTGTCACTTGAATTTTACAAGGCAATGTTCTTGAGCCCAGTGAAGACAGGTGAAACCCTTGTGCTGTTCAGATAGCTTTGCATCAGAACTCGGTAAGTATCCCATGCAGGCATCCTCTTTTTGTCACTTAGAATGACTTAACCCTTTAATGACTGGTTTTTTTGTTTTTTGTTTTTTTTTGGCGCCAGTTTTACTCAGGGAAAAAAAATAAAACAATTTTTAAAATAATCAAATCATGCTGGTGTCCACATCCTCTTATCACCATTCCAATTATCAGTCGTGTCATTAAGATGAGACTGGCAAAATCTGTCTGAATTTCCGGTCTAGTGTCCACTCCCTGCTAAAGCCACTCTGGTTATTTACACTCATATGCATCCCTTCATGCTTACCAAATCAGGAATATGGACATTAAGACAGAAAAAGATTCACCTAAGATTACAACAGAGGAATAAAATAAGAACCGTAGTTTGTAAGAGAAGTCAGTTTTGTCTTCTCATTTTAAAATGCAAATAAATTTATCAAAGCTATTATGGAAAATCTTGATATTTTTCTAGAAATGAGACACAAGAAATTAGTAATTTCTAATTCTGTAGGTCTCAGGCCACAGTGTCTTGGTTATGCAGATCTCCACCACAACAATATGAACTCTAGTGTTGCAAAGTTCAGAAACACCTGGAAAACAGCCCTACTCAGTGGCATAGGAACACTGGTAGAAGGGACAGAACCACCCAAAGAACCCTTCCTCATGTCGTAGGGGGCCTTTCAGATGACTTGGGAGATTCAATATTCAACAGAGATGAGAACTTGCACCAAGGGGGCTTTCCAGGTTGAAAAGCTGCTTTCTAACCACATGCCCTCGTACTGCCTTGCAATGGATTGCAGCCCTCGACTGAAGCAGCACATGCTCCTCGGGACGATGCTTTTGCCAGTACGCAAACACCATTACAAGGACACATCTGGACCCATCACTGCCAATTTGCGATTCAGCACTCCTGTTTCCCCACAAGTGATGAGATGAGACGGAGACACACTAGAAGACAAAAGAAAGTCGGTCTGTACCTGGGCGGTTGTGTGGTTGACTATAGCCTTCCCAGGGGAGGAGGGCGCTGACTGCTGCACTGTGAGGATCTGCTGTCCTAACGCTACATTCAGTGGGATGCCCACCGTCTTCTGGGGGGAGTTGGGAGGCTGGGAGGCCACTGACACCACTGTTAGCTGCTTGGCAAAACAAAGAAGCAGTTTAAATCTCTGTGCAGTAGAGAATACCCTGGACGTACACATCCCCTTCCTCAGGAAAGTTCAGTTCTCCAGCAGTACCTCGAGTTCTTGCTGGGAAGAAGGGTGCTGTATTTAATCACAACTCGCACGGGTCCGACCATGCAACACTGCCACATAGGCATGTTAGAAACTTCAAGGCTGGTTTCCAGCAACAAAAGGAACCCACAGAAAGCTGCTACTGCTTCTGGTTTTGGTTTTTTTTTTTGGTTCCGTTTGGTTTTTTGAGGTTTTCTTTTAGTTGGTTGGTTTTGCTTTTTTTAAAGAAAACCAGGCCACTGATGCCGGAGCATGGTCAGGATGGAATTTCTGAATAACAACTTTATAATCGCCACCGTGACTATTTCATCATAAATGAAAATTGTAAGGGAAGACTGTGGGGAAAAAAAAGAAAATCTCACCTTACACTATTGATTCAGCCAAAGTACAAGAACATCAGTATTTTCAAATCTACTTTGCAGATTCCCATAGACATCCAGTTTTCTGACTGCATTTCTGCAAAGTGCAGTTTTTGAATACTCTATTCTATATATCCACAACCCTTTCAAGGTTGGTATTCTACTTATTGTTCTTAATGTCATTATTTATGTTTTAAGAAAACTCCCAATTTTGGAAATAATTTGCTTTTAAAAGATACTTAGAATTACTTGTACAGTAAATTCAAGATGTAACCCTAAGGAGTCTTTTCACCCCCACTCATTACTAATTTTGATTCTAGATTTTTTTTTTTTTTAAACTTCCTCGTGTTGCTTCCCTCACTAATAATTCTCAAACACAAGTCCTTTGCTCCATTGTATAGCATTACATAGCTAAAGCACAGCCAAACTAAGAGAATCTAGACTCTTATCAGGGTTTTTACACATGATACTTAGTTTGCATGCACTATGTATCCTGCTTCCCCCCCCGAGGCTCATCCTTTCTCCAGCAATATTCCTCTTCTCAAGACAATTTTATCAAGTCTAAAGTCCAAGCTTCACCATAAGTGGCCAGTGCATCACCCTCAGTGGTGAGGCAGTGGCCCAGGGTGCCCAGAGAAGCTGTGGATGCCCCATCCCTGGAGGGGTTCAAGGCCAGGCTGGATGAGGCTTTGGGCAACCTGGGCTGGTGGGAGGTGTCCCTGCCCATGGCAGGGGGTGGAACTGGATGGCCTTTAAGGTCCCTTCCAACCCAAACCATTCTGAGATTTTATAACACTCATCTGTAATGCAGCTTATGATAGACGAGTTACCTTTCTGTTGCCCACCTGTGCCAATCTCCGACTCTGTACTTGTCAAGGACCACTGCAAATCTCCTTTACTTCAGACATGATTAGAAAAGACTAAATTATCTATGCACTAGCAGACAACGGTTAATAAGTGCAAACCTACTAGCATCACTGGGGTCTGCTCTTAAACAGCTTGTGGACTTTTTACAAAGGCGTAAAAAAACTCAGTGTTTGAGCACTTGGCTAAGAGAGAACAGCTGCTCTAGGAATGGATGCTTAGGGAATGGCAAGAAATGTCAGGAAGAGGAAACTAATGCAGTAATGCTTATTTACCACAGTAAAGGAGCCAATTGCAAAAAATCTAGCTCAGGCCATTATTGCAGAGCATCGTGATGTACAGTGGAGACTCTGGAGCAGTGGGATCATAAACAGCTTGTGGCAAAGACACAGAGAGCTCCATTCAGACCACTGTGCAGGAGGGATGAAAGGCTGCAGCGAGAACAAGGTCCTTACCTTATTAGGGGATTTGAGTGGCGAGATAGCTATTTTATTCGGTGTCTGCTGTGTTGTTGTACTCAAAGATGATCCAATGACTCCACTCTCAGAGATTGTTATTGCCTTTGGTGGTGTTCCTGGAGTGGACTGTGAAAGAACTCTGCCTATAAACAATGACGATACTGTCAGTTATCCCTGGTTACATCAACTTTTTAAAGCAAACGTTTTCTCTGTATATCACGCAATCGATCCCTACTTCTGAGAGCGTATTACCCAGTAGGAAGGACATCAGCATTCTTTAAGTTAGATTTAGCAACAAAGCAGAAAATAATTGGCATTACTGCAAATCAAAAGACGTGCACTCAGGCATAAAAAAGCTGGAATGGACATTTAAGCTTTCTGTGTCATTCAGATGAAAATTCTTTGAAGCCAGCACAGCATCCTAAGGCACGCAGACCTCCAATATACCTGTGCTGTGCACAAACCCCTGGCCAGCTGGCAGCATTCTATGAACTCCCTAGAAAGAAAGAAACCGGGCATCTGTGGGGGGCTACTTCCTTCTAAAAACTCAGCCAGCAGAAACTAGCTGCACTACAGTGACCAAAACAAGGTCCTTGGTTTATCTACACTCAACCCTTAAGGTTTTTTTCTTCTCTTTGTGTTGGTAGTTGTTTTTTCTCACTGCTTAACAGAATATATGACACTCCCATGAAAATATGGGTGGTGGTGTAACTCTACGATGACTTGCTTTTACAATAGCAAAAAGGGATAAACAACAAAACCAGCAGCTCCACATCATGAAATCAGTCTCAGGAATATTGCAAAACTCCCAGCGTGGAAAACAGATTTTTTTTTTCCCCCCTTCTTTCTTTTTCAGACTTTTAAGTTTCTTTCCAAGGAGTGCTTGACCACTGAGCTTTCCTCTCCTGCACTCCAGCTGAGACTCAGTTCTGTCATAGCTTTGCTGGGACCCATTCTCTTGTACTACGTTTACCAAAATAAGAAACAAACAAACACCAGCATAACTCATAATTTTTCCACCCAAAACCAACCAGTGATAGGACAATTAAATCAACTGGAACCAAGAGGAAAAAGCATCATCCTCATGCAAAGCTGCCTTCCTCTGATGTCTACATGCTCTGAAAGGACTTTTGTGCAGCCTAAGTAACAGCGTACATCGCTGCCAGCAGCTGCTAAAGCCACATGCCACCTGAAAATGTCAGTGTGTGAGAATTTTTCCATCTACAGTATTCAGTGCTTCAAGTTGTTTTTTTCCTGGTGACAGCTTTCCTTTTCTCACTACATCCCCTCTGTGGCCCTTGGCATCAGCTTTGTAAACAGAAGCTGTCTGCTTATATCGCCAAGCCTTTCAAATTGACAACTTCCACCTCAGTTTGCAGAAATTCTCAGGCAATTAAAAAAATATCAACCCAACGCACATAGAAAATCAAAACACAACACATAAATGTTGCAGCTTCCCCAAAATGATACCAGCTTCTCAAAGCTGGCAAGCTCTGCTGGCTGTTTGGGGTGATGAGAAGAAAGGCAGATGTTAAAAAAAAAAAAAAAAAAGATTTCCCTCGCAATTAGAGAAGCATCTTCACCTCCCAGTGATGCTTCTTTCCCAGGTTCAGGGGACAGGTACTCTTGATTTTCCGACATACTGATTTAAAAGATGGAAGTTCATTGATTGTGTAAATATTTTTTGTAGATATGTTGTGATTTGGACATTTCCTTTCATTGTTGAGGCAGCAAACTTAAAACCATGCTCTTATTAGTATTATTTTTGTTGTGGTTCTGTACTGTTTACTAGTTTTCATGTACTGCCAGATGAAAATGTAATGCAGCTCCAAGTGGCTTGTTTTGGGGTTTTTAATGGTTTGGGGTTGTTGTTTTGGTTCTGTTGTTTGTTTTTATTTAGTTATTTTTAAAACACACAACCAGCTTAATTCAACTATTTATAAACAGAGTGAAGCAATCTTCTTATTCACAGGTCTGCATATTTCAGGTGGAATTGTTTGAGAAAGGGGAAAAACTGGGGAGTGAGATGGGGAATCCCTGTTTCACCAGAAACACCAGTAGGGTTTCAGGGTGCAGGCAGTCTGACAACTCAAGGAAAAGATTGTGTTTCAGTTATACGACATTCACTTCTATCTATCAAAGTTTTGAATACAGGAGACGGTTGCATTTTTTCTAAAACCACCTCAAGCCCCTCTTCTGTAAAAGCTTAACAAATTCGTTTCAATATGTGGAAAAGATGTAAGGCATACTTTGGTTGGTCAATCTGGAAACAGTTGAAGACATTCTTCAAAGCTCTGAAGATGACTCTGGCTTCCTACATTTGTCCTTTTGAGATAATTTACATGTCTCAGATGTTACTTGCATCCATGCAATGATGCATTTATCAGGGGACACATCATTCCCACTGCCATAATAAATAAATGATTACACTCTGTGTGTTTTTTCCTTATTTTTTTTAAAGAGCACAAACACAGATTTGTTTTCCAAAGAGACAAACTATTTCTTATTTGCCTTCATTACTTTCTTAGACTCTTGTGCAATTCTTATTTTTGAAGTAGGTGAGCAACTTAACAGAAACAACACAGCTTTATTAACTTTTTTCACTCAAACATTTTGCCTGTTACTTGCATGTATTACATTTAAGTCCAACCATAAGGATATTAAACTAATACAAGAGCATGTGTCTTCCTTCCCTCATGTATTTATATAAAGTATCTACTTTCTGTTTATCAAGTAGCCTTTTCTCTGGTTGTGAGGTGTTTTTTTTTTCCTCCTCCCCCAAATCCAAAAAGTAAAAGCATCTTACATAAAAAGCAAAATGATCAAACTTTACAATCACAAAGATAATTCTAAACAAGCAAAGTGTAAGGGTACCAACCACTGCATTTATCTGCTTCTACTTAAAAAATTCTGCTGACTTTTTTTTTTCAGTTGCTTGAGGTACTTCAACAGAAACTACAGTGAAATCATTGACAGAAAAATTTCTACAATTGCCATCTTTTTGAACATTCTTTAAAAAATGGTAAAGCAAAAGAAGCCAAAGAAGTACAACCTGCAATGACTGGTGACACTTGAGTGGTCTGCCCTGTAACAGCTTTGCTATTAATTGGTTTGGCAAAGATCAGCTTGGTGATCACTGGGCCAGAAGTTGGGGTTCGGGTCTTCTTTGCAATCTGAAAGGTGAAGGAAAAAAAGATCTCAAGTAACATGAGCATTTTGTATCTAAACTGTTGTATTATTAAGTACATCAGAAAAAGAGGGCTATACCTACACAGAGAATTTGAAGAATAATGGCTTATTTTGCATTTCACCTCCATTTCTCTCTATGGAGAGAAGAAGGATATAATCTGTGCTGCTTCAGAGCACCAGCCACCAAAGTAGGATAGGCAAATCCCTTACAGCTTTTTGTCAGCTATCTTTCTGTGAAAACATATCTCATCTTCACGATGCTGAAGTTATTTGTTACATGCAATTCATCTATATAAACATGTTAAAATTAAATGCCCAAGTCTCAATATTTGAAGCTTTAAAAAGAAGTTACTTCTTTTTCAGCCAACCAGGACAAAACTTGTTCCTCAAGTGATTTAAATACAATCACTGACCTGCAACATCTCTTGACTTACTCTGCCATAGCAGCAGACTTTTATCCTGCAAATGGGGAAACAGCTTTCTGCAACAGTTCTCAAAAAGTAAGTAGATCATCAGTCCCTGAAAGTTTTGGGTACTCACTAGCCAAGAACAAATCAGTTGGCCACATCCAGGTACAACAGAGTCTTTTTTTTTTTTTAATTCTGTGATCCAGTCTGCTGAAATACAGCTGGACCAGGAATGTGTATGTGCAATTCAACGAGACTTCAACTTGAAATCTTTATAAGCAGGGTTTTATAGGCTGAAGTATTGAAAAATATGTTTTCCCCTTTTCCCCAGTGACAGAAGTTAGCTACCAGATGCATTTATCCTAAGAGTTTCTCTATATCAGCATCCAGCTGGTGAATAGTTCCGTTAAGAAGCTGACTTCCTTCAAATACTGTTTTAACCTGATGACTATAGAGGTTGCCTAGAGATGGGGACTACCACTAGAACCTTCCCCGAGGTATTCCCCACAATACCTGAAGGCCAAGCCAGCTCTGAACAACAGCAGCCATTTCCCAGTAACAGTCATGAAATGCCTTACATGAATACCTGTAAAATACTAGCTACCCATTAACATGAAATATTTCAGAAAAAAAACCATAAAAATCCCAAAATAATAGCTGGTCAACATCAGTGGCCCTGCTTCCCTTAGACTCAACTTGCAATATCCTCCCTCAGATAAATCCCCCCCTGCTTTTTGGGTGAACTGTTTGTCTACAAAGAAGGTCAAACAGTCTAACAAGCAACTGAATCCCCTCAGGGCTTAGGAAACATGTCAAAACCTCAACAAGGTGAGGAACAGCCCTTAGCCTCAAGGGCAGTCAGTGCCCTCCTGCCCTCACTTGCTGCCAAGCAACCCTTTCTGAGGTTTGTTGCCACTGGAGCCGATAACCCTGGCCACCTGTGGAAGCCTCCTAGGTATCAGTGGAAAACTCACTCTTTCAGTAGAGACTGGAGAAGCCAGAGAAATTATCAAGATGACAGACAGCCCCCCTCATGCTTCAGAAGAAGCAAGTTCTCTGGAGCCCTCTGCCATTGCCTGCACTCATCACAAGGAGATTAACATTGTTCCTCTCCCTATGAAAGCTAAGCATGCTCCCTGCAAGTTACCTGGAATTAGACTGCAAAAATATTTCCTGGTGCAACAAGCTTTTCCATAAGAAAATTATTGTATTTAGAGGCACACACCAACCTTCTCCCTACAGAAATAAAGAGATTTATCTGCAAGCATCTGTGCCAATTTGTGTCTTCCTAAGCACTCTCCACTAAAGAAGATGAACTAGCAAGTTTCTACAGATGGTTTTCAGCCATTAAACTGTGTTCTTTTCATACAGAAAAAGACGTGTGTACCTTGCATTTACTGCTGGACTGAATACCCACATAGCCAGCTACCAAAAAGGAGCTAACATATTATAAACCCATCCCCTAGATGACCTCATGGGAGCTTGTCCATGTAGCCACACCCTATGGAATTTATATTTGGTGTAATATGAAAAACCACAGACTCTAGAAATAGGAGAGGAGAACAGTGTCTTTCAGAGAAGATGAAGGTAGGAATGAGAGTTCACTCCGAAGTTAGGGAGTGCACAAGGTCACTTTTCCGTGATAAGACAAAACCACGATGATGGCTTAGAAGTTGTCTTCCTGCGGTAGCAATGATGCTACGGAGCCGCGGATTTAACTGCTGAAATACAGAGCCGGTTACTGCAAGTAACAAGTTCAAGTTAGACTAGCTTAGTGACAGCAACGGCAAGAGGTGTGGACATCTGCAAGGCTAAACTCTCGCTTAACGCACTCAGACTAAGCAGTAGACCAGCAGGCACATCACTGTTTTTAAGCCGTTACGCAGGCAGGAGGCGTGGGCTGAAAGCAGGTGCATTTGCTCAGTAGCTTTGTCCACACATCCAGGATAGTGGTTTCAACTACATCAGGACAAGCTGCCAAGGTCTATAGTAGAAGAGACAGTAATAAACCTCTCAAAGCCCAAAGTCATGCCTCATTTTACACTGCGATAGCTTCATACCTCTAAAATTGTAATCAGAGAGGGACCCAGATTCCAAGGAACATTTTGCTCAACTCTATCAATTATGCCTTTTCTCAAGGGCGAGATTTCAAATGTCACAATTAGATTACAGCAGAGCCAACTGAGTTTCTCTAATGACCTGCAAAGCCCCTATGACAGTGACTATGCAAGAAGAACTGAAGAGAGATCTTTGTCATCCAAGGCTAATCTTTCACCGATTCACTTTTCAGCACAAAGTCAAACTGCTGTGCTGCCTTGCATCTGAAACACCTGATTCATCAAGCCACAAGAGGTAAGTTACACAAGACCGTTGGGATGCAGGGAGGCATTCACAGCTTCCTTTTCCACTCACTGAAAGGTTAAGAGGATCATTCAGGATGATGGGGTAAATACATGACTTAATGCATGACTTAAGTCCCTTCTAAGCTAGGGACTCAAGGTGTGGGAACCTGTAAAATGCCTACTGACAAACAATCGCCAGGTCATACTATTTCAGCCACTGGTGGCACAGGTCATCTCATGCAAGCAAAAGCACATCCCAGCTAAGTCATGTTATCCTCAGCTTCCTGTATCTGTCCCTGGGTAGTGAGTAACTGAAGCCAGGTAACAGGAACTGATCCACTCGTAAACATTCCTATGCTGAGTTCCAGCAAAGGCTTTTCTGAAAGCTGTAATGACAACCATATCATTAATGATCCAAGTACAAAAATAAAAGTCACGTAAGAAAATGGACATATTTTCCACAGGTATGATGGAGCAACAAAAGAGGGGAAAGCAGAAATCACTGCAGGGATCATCTCCTGCTTTAAAACAAACTGTCTTGAGAGTTGCTCACATTTGCTTGCCATGAAATACTGATCAGGGAACTTACCATGCCGCTCATAACATGCTTTAAAGTTTGTAATTTTTCATGTGCAGCAAATTAGTTTTTATAAGTATATTTAGATTTTAATTTCTCATTTCATTTACACTGTAAAAGAAATATTTTTCCACCATAACCTGCATCGAGTTCTACTTATTCCTGCCCTACTGCCAACTAGAACAAAGTCACACTTAGTTCTGCCATATATCAGATGAAAATCAGACCCTTTGGGTCATAAACCAAGTCTTTTCAACACATTTTCAGATCCCAGCAGATCCTCTCTGGTTTCAAATATCTGAAGATCCATGCCAGAGTTCAGAGTTGTGTCCAGCTCACAGCAGCATCTCATTTATCAATATCTACTAACAAGCGTAACTAGATTGGAGGCAGACAAGACACACCTTTCCATTCTTTTTCAAATGCTCTAAGGTCTTTTTCAGAGAGTTTATTCCTAACAAACTAAACGTAAGAGGCAGAAGGTACTCTTAGCAGTGTACACTTTGAGCAAAGAAACAGAGTTCAATTCAGTCTTCCTGAAAAGCATGTAGAATTTATTTTTACAAAGTAAAAATAATAGCGAAATTCTCTTACAATTTACTGAATGTTAATAGCTCACTTTGTCTGAGGCAAACTCTGAAGTTTCTAGACAGTAGCTAGAGGTAAAGAGCAGAAAATGGTAAATGCATCCACATATGAAAGCAGGGGCTAAAAGCAGCATTGTATTTTTTAATACAAGGAATAAATGCAAAGGCTGAAAGCAACCATGTGTCAGTCAGGGAAGGAAAGGAACAACAGTTGCATCAACAAAATTATTTTTAAGAGGTTTCATCAGCATAACTCACATTACCTGTACTGTTTTTAATTGCTGGGTCTGCAAAACAGAAGGCTGGGCCGCAGTGTTTATCAGCTGACTTCCTTGCGTCAAAGCTGACACACCAACAACCGGTTTCACTTCCGACCGACCTCCAATAACAACTTTGATCTGCTGGCCTTGTACCTTGGAATCTCCACCCTGGGCTTGGGACGTGGCCTTCTGCGCCTGAGGGAGTTGGCTGTGGGGTAATGCTAAAACAATGGGTTGGCCAGACTTGCCCAAAGTTGTTACAATTAGCTTTTGCCCATCTGGTTTAATGCTCTGATTGCCTATCTTAGGATCGGTGGTCTTGTTCAGAATAATTTGATTGGCCGAGATAGTGACAGGGGTCTGAGCACCAAGTTTATGGAGGCCACTTGGAAAGGTAGGCTTCACTACTGCGTTCACATCAGTTTTGGGGGTTGTGGTGTTCACCATCGCATCGCCTGAGTGATTGCTGGGTGCAGTAACTGATTCTGTGGTGACTGTGGCTGTAGTTGTAGCTGAAGAGTCACTGGTGGAGCTTATGTTCACTATTTCTTCCAGTTCTGTTTCCATTGGAATAGAATCTCCCATTGGCGACGAGACAATAACCGCCTCCATGCTGTCCTCTTCCACCAGAGTTATACCGGTGTCCATTATTTCCTCAGGGAGCAAGCTGTTGACTTCTGCTGAAACCACCTCCATTTTGGCAGCAATGACTGGAGCAGGTACTGCAATAGTATTTGAAAAAGTTATTGGCTTCCAGAAAACATAACATTTTGCAAAGCTTTACAAATAATATTACCAAAGAAGAAAATACAGTAGCAGAATTTCTTTAGGACGGAAGGTATTGTGCATGCTCAGGAGGGATACCGTGAAAAAAATTGCTATCAAAACATAATGTATCAAGCTGAATTTACTTTCAGTAAGAATTTATGTCAAACCTCTTCAACATCATCTGTTTAAGTCAAATCAAGGCACAGACTTGCTGTGTATTAACCGTCCACTGTTGATAACACCGTACACTTGAAGTAGTGTTTCCCTCAAGATATGGGCACCTTGTTAACAGATATTTGAGCTTACTAGAACACAAAGCAAGAGTCAAAAAGCTTTGAAAATCCAAGAGATTATAATGGCTTTTGTCAACATTGATTAGTAGGGTTCTCTTGCCTCAAGAGACTTGTTATCCATACCAGATATAACAGGGTTTCATTTTGCCAAATCCTCATTTTGGAAATCTCAGAAAAACAGCTGCCTAGTGACAGGCTTTTAACAACCCCAGAAGCTCAATCAGCAGCCTACCCCAGGACCAAGCCAAAGCCCAGCACTTCCAGGATGAGCAGAGAATTCCTCTATGCTGGCAGTGAAAAGAGTGGCTCAATATTTTTTTCTCCATACTCACAAGAAAATATAATACCCAAATTCATGATGAATTTGAAATGTGTTCTAAACACAAAACAAAGAACACCTCATCTGAAAAACAACTGATTTTTTTTTTTTTTTGAGCTGACTAGTAAGAGTGACCAATTTATATATAAAAACTACAGTGAGATTCAAAGCCGCAGTCTCTTCCCAGTTGAGAAGCCTTAAAGACATGGCTGTAAATGGTCACATCTTCCAACTGTGTCACTGTCAGAGGCTGAAAACAGATCAGCTCCACAAGGCATTTTCTCCACTTGCTGACCCCATCAGCATGCACGGGCATTGCACGCGTGAGCACGCTCCACAGCTATGCGTGCACACTCTCAAGTACTCATGAGAAGCTCAAGAGGACAGGATCCTCACAAATTCCGTTTCCTCCTTGCTAGGAAAAGCAGAACTGAGTTATTAGCACCGAGCAACATTCCTAATTAAGGAACCACGCCACTAAAAACACTGACCAAGTGCTGAGGTGACACTGATTCCTCCAGAGTCATTGTGGTTTCATTCTTTCAGAGCAGCTAACCACAGAACAGCTGCTTTTCACCCATGAGGTAGAAGGATGGGGAGGGGGAAACCCTGCTATAATCTCCCTAGCTCCCAGACTGAGCTCAGGAAGCTGTGCTGGAGCAGTCCAGTGCCTTCCTGATGCCATCCCGAGTGCAAGACATACCAAACTGCTGTGATACTCAAGAAACCCAAGCTGCAAAAGAATTTGTTCGGATGACTGACTTGCACACAGCTTACTTATTGGCAGGCATTTAAAGGTACAGAGTTATCTGATGTCACTGCCAGGAATACCTCCCTTGGAAAGCATTTCTCCCAAAGTAATGCCGGTACAGCTGCAGCGATGCCAACTAGTGCGAGACAAAACAGCTTACTCCTGAGGAGACATCAGTAACAGTATCGCCTTGCTGTCTGAAAGTCACATTGGTTAACTCCATATGAGGTGACAGAAAAGTAGGAATAGGAAAAGCAGACTGTTTCAGCATGTGTTAAGGCCATTAACTATCCTCCTGAGCTGTGTTGCTTTATTGTCTCCCTGTCAACCTAAATGGGTTGGTGTCTTAGATCTTCCAACTGTTTCAGACAGAAAAACCCCACCATCCTCTTCCATACTGACAAGCACAAGGGACTTGGATCCAGAAGTTAGACTCTTAAGGTAAAACACAATCCAAATAACGATTGCCTCTGTAGTTGAAAAGGAGGGAATAATCTAAATCAGAGAGTGGAAAAATCACCAGATTCAGCAATGACAAAGAATTTTAAAAGACTTGGTTTTGGTTTGCATTTGTATGTGTCACTCCCTAACAGAAAGATCATTCTTAGGATCTTTTAATACTATGACCATAAAGTATTAACATCTATTTCAGTAGTTACACAGTTCAACACTGCGACCAGTGCTGTTTAACATCTTTGTCAGA